AGTGTTTGTCTGAGTTGTCCGTAGTTGAACAACCTGGTCAGTATACGTTAGCTTCCTGCATACTTGAGTCTTCAGTCTTGCCACGTTGGCTCTATCGACTAAAGTATCTGGGAATGCAATTTCGCTGTCCAATTCCTACTCCCCTATGAATTTGATGTCGTTGAATTCGGTGCTGATCAATTCTACAGTATCTTTGAAATATTTATTTTTATTGATGACAGAAGTGTTGTCCACTTAGCTTAGAGGTTTCAGGTTACTGTTCGTAGTTACGCCGTATATTGGCAATTTCGTTCAAGTCCCCTTCATCTGCTTGGTTATCCTATCACAGATTTGGTAATAAGCTTTTAGAAAAAAATTCAATATATTCTATAACTCTTGAACAGTAAATTTTGTTCTCTTTGAATATCTTGTGTCGTCAGTGAGGACGACATATAGTTCAAACATTGTAGGGAATATTGTCACATTATTGTTGTATGAACGTCCGTGGTCCTTTTCTAAGATTCTACTGAGGATTTGATAGTGTTCTCATAATTATACAAAATATTTTAGAAGGGTGTCCAGATGCATTCTAGTTCAAAGCTCCCATAATTTCAAATATTGGTTGTAGTGGGGATTGCTTATTTGTGTAGTTTTGGTCTACCGTTAAAAAAGATCAATATGCCTGTTTGTCTTGATCTAAGATTGGATGAGGATCTGATTGATTTATGAAAGGTTAGGCCTAGATCTCAGTACGTTCCCAACTGTGGATCTAGAGTTAGCTGACAAATTATAATGAAACCTGAGAACCAAGATCGTATATTTTTCAAGCTAATTCCTATGTAGTTACCATAAAGGAATTTCTCAACTTTCTGGAGAACTCAGAAAAAACCAAGCACATTTAAGAGTGGAATTCAGAAATGGGGAGCATAAATTTAAACAGAAAACTTCACTTTGAAAAATAAAAGTAATGACAGTTAGAACCGTCACTTGGTATTTAAAAGCACTTCCCCTGGATAGTGAAAAGACCAAATGTAGTGAAAAGAAGAATATTGGGCACAACACATCATAATGAAATATAAACTGATTGTGAAACTTATATAACAGACTGTAAAGTTTCTAAACCGTTCCATTCATCTGATAATTCTTTCGTAGATTGTTGAATTATTGTAAAGTCAAGGAATACAAATCATTATTTAGAAAATTAATAGTATATGATGAATTATTTGTATACTGACAGTCATCTGTCACTACAAAGATGAATATGACCATCACTAATAGGGCAATTTTGAAACTTCCCAAGCTGAAATCAAATTAAATGTGTGAGAGAGATACATTAATTTTACTTCCACAGCTGATTTTATCAACTAGAAACAAGTTGGGTTTCGCGTGCATAAGGGGCAACCATTCTACCTTTAATAGGGTATTACCTATGAAGAAATATTTGATATTCCGAAGATATAAACATAACTATTACAAATTAACCGATGTATACAACACAAAATTGTGACGAAAGGGTAATACAACGAGTATTCGATCGCCGGTTTGTACTAGAATTCAAATTAAGTAAGTAATTTCATAATTTATCAACGATTATCTAGAAGGTAATATAAAACTTCTGTTTTTGGTACTATTATCAAATACATTTCGTATCATATTACAATCAAAACTTAAAGGAATAAGTCTTAGCGTTAAAGATATCCCAAATCTTTTGGTTCTTATAAATGGAAAAGCTTTCGAATGCTTCTACCGTTATGGATCCTCATTTGCTAACTGTTCACTCGATAAACAAAACTTTAGAAACAGAAGCATTTTTAGGGTTGTTGCTATACATGGTGTTAGTTCGACAAAAGAAACGAATACAGGAATCTCAGATAACTTTAATTGATCGTTTTATTTCCCTGCGGTTTATAGTTCAGAAAAAACCACATGTTATAATTTCGACTATCTGAGACACCTGATATTTGGAGACTTGTATTGATATCTAGTGGTCGCTGGTTCGAGTCCTGCCACGGTCTATATATTCATTTTACCTTCAATCGTCTGGCAGTATCAATTACATGTTAACTGAAATTAACTACTGCGTATAATTCTGTTTTTTATATATGAAATCAGTTATTCATATGCTTATTTACGTGTCTGCATTGATGCATAACTGAATAGTACGGATGAATCTTTGTTTCATTTGAACAGAAGCTTAATCAATTGCTTAATTCGTGTTTGTACGAGAATGAATTAGGTGTGATTTAGAAAATAATGTGATAAGGCGATGTTACTAAAAATTAAAACAAGTTTAATCATGAAGTGGTGACTTTTCGTAGTTAACATGATAAAGTAATTCAGGAAGCGGGATATAATTTGATGGCCTCGTTTGAATACACAGTGGGTGTTATCATCTATTTGTGTACACGACGTGGTCGACTATTTTTTTAAAGATTTAATCTATGATCTTAGAGCTGTTCATAATTCCACTTCACAGTTTTTCGAATGTCAACCGACTGGTGAACTTATAGAAATTCTCAAGCACTCTTTGTTTTCACTTCAATGTTTCTAAATTTATTTTCGTAGTGATGAGACTTGGTTGCTGAGTGCTGTTTGTTCTGACGAAGATTTAAGTTTTGATTAGTCTGTATTATCAAATGTTAATCAGAGTTGGTGTTTATCTGTCTGGGTAATATCAGTATTGAAAGGCTTTATTGCTCTACTTGAAACGTTCTACGTATATTCCTATGTCTACAAGTAACCTTGAATTTATTCATTTTAACTAGTATCTTTTGATTAGTTTCTATGAATAAACATTTCTCTAAACATTTCAAGTTGTTATTCATTATCGATTGACATCAGTTGGAGGAAAAAAGGAAATCTGGGAGCACTGGACAGCTGTTTCGTCCTAATGTGGGACTCCTCAGCAGTGCTCACCTACGACCTTCAGGTTCCGTGGCCAGCGCGTTACCATTGAGCTACTGGGTCAGAATTCAATGGTCCATATTTCCAACTTCTCTAAATAAAAATCACCGAATTATTCTCTGTATTTTTTGAAGTATAGTTTGGCTACTTTCAGCAAAGTTTATGTGATAGTTTTATCCTAGATGAATGCATGATGCACTGAAAGGCGCATGTTGTACTTGATTCTCTATGTCTTCGATTGGTCATGCTGATCAAAGTGACTGAAAATCAAAATTTATGCATAGATCCTTTCTTTACTAAGAATTTGGTATTATCCAAAACTTTACTGATGAATCTGTAGCTAGCGTCTTAAATACTTCATACGATGACGACAAACATACCATTTCATTGAATCTGATGATGAAACTACACTTTTACATATTTGCATTTTGTTCTCTTTACAGCATATCTTGGTATGAGTTATGCTATTATTTGTGTTACACTTTAATGCCGGCAGATTTTCCCACTGAATTGGAAACATTAGGAAGAAGACAAATTGGTGAATTGTAAAACAGATTTTATAATGAAACTTATCTGATAAGTCAATACAAATGTGTAAGAATAAAATATTTCTACGAATTTGTGTGTAAACATTCAAGGCAGAGGTAGACCAAGGACTAAAATATATCTACAATATGAACATTTCAAGAAATATGCAGATACACTTAATGATCATGGTGCTTCTGTGCAATGAACGAACTTTTGCATGGAATGTTCATTGTGCCTATGTAATTCGTAGTCCATTTGTTCGGAAGCTTTTACGCTATAATTTCAAGTGACTTTCAGAATCTTGGACTCACTAAAGCTGGTCATATAATGAAATAAAAGCTATCACAAATGCTTTTGGAAAGTAAACAGTAAAGCATCAAAATTCAGGACATTTCTCAAGATGTCGAGAAAGATGTTGGTATTATTATTATTTTTTCCTTTGGGTTCCTAGTGGAACATAGGGCTTCAGTAACTCTTTTCATCGGTCCAGCCAGCGTATCCCCATCTTCTCGCTCCTCACTGTTTGTTGCATGATCCAGTCCACTACAATCAGGAATATCATGGGTAATATTAGACAGCCTTGTTCTGCTCCTGTCTTCACTTCAAAGACATCACTGAGCTTCCGATTGTGGATAACCTGGCATGTGGCGTCTTCATATGGTTGTTGAATGAGGTTGATAAAGATTTGTGGCACTCCATATTGTTGAAGCAGTTGTCTGCCGAATTGCTTCTCGGTCGACGCTGTCAAAGGCCTTCTCAAAGTCGATGAAAATGAGGTAGACGGTTGACTGTCATTCTATACTCTGTTCTATGATGATGCGTAGCGTTGCAATTTGGTCCGCACATGAATTGTACTCCCTGAATCCAGCCAGCCTGTTCCGGTCGTAGTTTTGTATCCAGTGCATCCTTTGATCTCTCCAGGATGATGTGGCCTAATATTTTGCTTGGGGTGGACAGGAGCGTGATTCCGCGCCAGTTCCTGAAAAGACATAGGTCGCCCTTCTTCGGGAGTTTGACAAGGTAATCCTTCTTCCAAACAGTCACCAGGTACCTTCCCTTCCTTCCAAACTTTCCACAGTAGTAGTATGAGCATATCCGCTGTTGTTTCTGCGTCTGTTCTCAGTGCTTCTGGTAGGATCCCATCTGGACCTGCTGCTTCCCCGCATTTCAGTAGCTTTATGACGTTCAGGACTTACAATTTTGTTGGACGATTTATGTTCACTTGTAGTTCTGTGGCTGAAATGCTGGTGGTATTTCTGGACGAAGTGCAGTTGGTGGCGGTGGTCGATTCAAGAGCTTCTTGAAGTGGTCGGCCCATCGTTTCCTTTGTTTCTCTTCTCTGGTGATTATATTTCCTTCATCATCTTTTTATTGGTTTCATCTGTGCTGATCTCTTCCCTCCCAGACAGTGAGTAACCTGGTTATTTGATACAATGTTGTCAGGTCTCTGTCTCTCCCACCACCAGCCTGTTTTGCTTCATTTGCTAGTGTTTCGTAGAAGTGCATTTTGTCCTTGCGTGCACTCTTCTTCACTTCTTTGTCCAGAGTAGTGTTTTATACATTGTACTCAGTTTCTCTTTTCGTCGTTGAGCATCCTTGCACTGGTTTATCTTTTGTTTCACCATCTTCCTCTCCTTGCTCTATCAGCTTCTATGTGTCTGTCGAGATCCATTCTTTATCTTCTTTCTTCTTCCTTCCTAAACCAAGTGCTTGTCGACCCATGGTTAGTTTCCTTGCTGTGTTTTCAGCTCCCAGTTTGGCATTCATGTCGCCCATCAGAATTCTTATGTCGCCAACTGAGGTCTTGTCCAGTGTTGATTGCAGTTATCTGTAGAATTCCTCCTTCTTCTCTTCATCTGCATTATTTGTAGGCGTGTAGCATTGTACATTTGTGGATTTCTTTCCTTTTGAGTTGAACCTTGCTGTTATGAATCCTGGAAGAGATTGGTTCCCACTGTATGAGAGCCTTCAATGCGCTCAGGGATACACTTGCATTTATTACTGATTTCTAATTTCAGTTGGTTTAGCATCTTCTAGCTTTTCATGTTTGGACATGATTCCCTGTCTACCTACTAAGTTTGTTCTTTAAAATCCTGTTTTTGTCTCCTTACTTTTATTAAATTCATCGTCTGATCTGATATATATAGCTAGTTATATTAACTGTGGACTTGCAATTTTTGTTTCACATCTTCTAATCCCAGTATCAGATTTTGAACCATGTTTTTTATTGCGAGACGTATGCCGTATGCTTCGAGTCTATTTCATTTAAAGATTTATTCAAACTATGAGCAATTTTTACTGGATCAAAATCGGTGAATTCTTATTTATTCTATGAATGCTTTGTTAAAATCACCAATCGAAAGAAGGGTATAGAATATTTTACTTTGCATGACTGTACATTGACGAGTCTACTAAACTTTTACCTTCACTACTCATCTTCATTCGTTGTTTGTTCTACTTTAAATTTGTTTTCGTCATATTGTGATAAACTGACTACGGAAAGTGTGAAAATGACTTTTACTTGCACTATAATTTTCTTCTTAAGTCGTTCTTTGACCTTAAAGGTTGTTTCGGTGGGTCAACTTCAATTTCTGTCAGTGACTTAAATTTCAGTTGGTTTTTATTGATAGCAATTTTGCATGAGAATTCCAACTTCAAAGAAATATTAATTCGGTGAAGAAATATCGTTTTCCAACATTGAGTTGCAGTATTGACAAAAGATACTTCAGTCATTGTTTAACCAACGCCAGTCACCAGTGTTCAGATGATTGCAATAGTAATAACGATTATGATACTGTACTACTTACTGTGTACTATGAGGAATAAATTATTCTAGTATGTTACGGTACTCTAATTTTATTCTCATAATCTTTCAAATATATATTTGTTCCAGATTAGTGTTTTTTAATTATATAATAACCGGCTTCATTACACAGGGGCTTATTTTCGTTAATTTTTATTTCATGAGTGATTTTAAATTAGATATCACTGAAAGTTGACCAACACCACTCTAGGCATAGAGCCAAAGACATGAAGTTCAGTGAAAACTCTTACTTTCCAACTCAGCACGATTTTATTTGTTTGTTTTGTGCAGCCAGTCAAATGCTTGGTCCATTGGGCAAGACTTATCTGCTCAGATGACACTTTTAAAGAAGAACTCTAAATTATCCACTATCTACTCAGTAGTAATGGATATATATCCAGAAAAGTTTCTGGCTAAAAATATGGACATTTCCAATACAAAAACAAGAGCAACTACAGCTTCCAAGAAACCACTTTTTCTCAGGCTACAGCTTCTGGTTGATATCATCAGTGAAATTTTGACACAACGCCTTATGAAATCCATGAGGTGATCATTTAAAGCAGTAACGTTATGCTGTGTATTGAACAGTCGGCTAAGGATGACTTCGCAAATCAAAGATAAACTACTCAGTTCTCCTCTTCAATGTGTATTAACCAGTTCAAGTGCTCCTGTAGAGATAGTTACATTGGACGTACAGTTAGGCAAGTCCGTCGTTGAACACCATGATTAAGTAAAAAGGCAAACAAGATCCATAAGTGGCTCAGTACCTTCTCATCTGGTCGACACTGGTCATCGAATTAATATTCACAACGAGTTTAAAGTTATTTATTATATTACTTCTAATCTCATTCATGTTCTTCGAATTCGTCTTTTATACACAAAAGAAGCCATCGGAACCCGCCCAAATTTGTGAGGTTAGAGGAATTTCTTACAGCCTTTTTCTTCGCCTTGGGCATCAGTATACCTTATCTGCAAAAAATTACCAACCACCTATTCATAAATTCCACAAATTCGATTGTTAGCAACATCAAATGCTTTGATGGGAGCATATCTTCAGCTTTGAACTTAGACTAAAGCTTCATTTTTGGCATTTATGAGTCTAGCTATGCATAATTGACCACAACTGTACAGCTTACGCAGTCCCATTGGTGCTTTATGCTGAATGACAAAATATACAGATGCAAATCCACATAAAAAATTGCTTTCTTGAGTAAAGCAGCTTCCAGGTAAAATTGTACAATTTATAAGCAATGATTTGGCATGTGTTGGATATGTGTTTTCCTATAGTTGTTTTATTCCTCAGGCCTATTGGTGATTAAGCAGAGTATGGGTTTATTTAGAATTTAAACTCATATAAGTTTGCTGGAAAATCCAGTTATTTGCAATGTACAAAAATAAAGCGTTTAATAAGGAAGTCACAGGAAAAAATAGGATCATTGGACGCGGATAAATAACATTCTGAACAGTTTCGACGTGCAAAGCAAACTATTTGATCTAAGAGATATTTAGTTACGTGTAGAACACGAAAAATGACAACCACATAATACCAGCAGGCTATTAGGGCGAAGAAAAGTTCGGTTGTTCAGTTGCCATCGAAAATTAACACTTACAGCTTTTAGAAATTCTTCTTTCTCAACACTGTTACTATGACCGTTAACGCTGTTATTAGAGAGAGAGAGAGCAGCTATCTGTTAAGTCTGAGAATTCAGTTGTAAATATATTGTTCGCTTATGTTTTGGTTAAATCTACATAAGGGAAAATTCTGAATTCTCAAGTACAATATTATCTGGCAGCCATGAGTTACTGAAGGTATGCAGCATCTCTAAAGGACCATTTGCTGCGACAGTTTATTTCTGTAGTAACCTTAAAAGCCTAAAATGACCCAAAACGTTGTGGCCATAAAAAGACATATGTCAAAGATTATCATACGTCTAACATTAGAAATAAAAGTAAATTGTGATGTGCTAATGCTACTAAGTTATCAAAATTATGTTATGATGGATGTTCTAAAAGATCAGGTCAACATATCGAGGCAACTAAATTTTGAAACATTGGATTTAGACTAATTTTTGAAAGACTAACTACTTAACAAGAGAATATACACAGAAAACTTTCATTCACTCATTTGCTAGTAATTATAGTTTTCTTCTGTGTTAAAAAAATATACTGAAACAAGTCATTATTTATTATTTGCCCCTTGGGTTCCTAATGGAACACAGGGCTTCAATAGCTCGTCTCCACTCCACTCTGTTCTCTGAAATTTTTTGAACCTGGTTCCACAACAGCCCACAAGCTCTCATTTATTCCTCACACCATCTCCTCCATGTCACCCCCGCCTCGGACACCCAACTCGTCGCTTCCCATCTGGGTTCCACTCGAGTACCTGGCCTGACATGGCGCGTGATGTCCCCAGTCGGCCTTCTCAGTGTATTCTCAATCCATCTCCACTTCCTTCCAGTGCATATTTGTTGAGCGACAGGTTCTTGGTTAGTTTGTTGTCAGCCAGCCAGCCAGAGTTTCTTGTTGCTTATTCTTATTATTCTGGCCATCTGATCTTCAGTAATGAGCCAGCGTAGACAGTTGTTGATGAATATCTATAGTTTGTTGGAAATGCCTTTCGTAACACCCCAAGTCTCTGAACCATCACATAGCAGCACTGACTTGACTGAATTAGTGTTGAAAATCCGGATCATGTTCACACTTTATGCTGAGTGCGGAAGATCTCCACACTGGTTTCAGGTCAATGAACGCCTGTCTTGCTTTTCCGATCCTGGCTGACTTTGACGTCCTCGTCTGTGCCGCCGCTGCCTGTAGTTGAAACAGTGCTGCCTAGGCAGGTAGGTGAAGGAGGCTACTTCCTTTAAGTTTCTACCGTTCATGGTGATTGGAGTTTGTTGTTGTTGTTGATTGGGTATCTTAATCACCTCTGTCTTCTCTACGTTCACTTGAAATCCTGTCTTCGCTGCCGTGCCTCTTCTGTCAAATTGTTGGATTTCACCTGTAGATCTTCAAGTTTGTGTGACATTAAACATAAGTCATAGGCGAAATCTAAATGTTCTAGGCTCTTTTACATGAAGACTGCTCTCATTTCTTAAAAAATATCATAAACAACGATCTAGGCCAGTTTGACCGGAATAATTCTGATTCCTAGACACTAGTTAGTACCTAGGTTACTGTGAAACATAGTTTTCTAACTCGGTGCGTAAAATTTTATCCCGGCGTTTGCCTGCGATATGAGATGTATAACACATATCTCAAACACCTTAGTCAGTGGAAATATACAACTATATCAGTCCACCCATATCTTTAGCCAAGTCTCGTAGTGGTTCCGCATCATGCAAACGTGATGATGATCAAATACCTCAGACAATTTCATATCAACTATCTTTACTTTCCATCTACTTTACCAGAGTACACTTTTAAGCAGCACACTATTCCTAATAGGTGGTCAGATAACTTTGTTATGAACAGGATTCTACCAAATATGAAAACTATGGCACTGCAGTTTTTAAAAGAAAGTTATTAAGTCAAATTGTTAGAAATCCCGAGGTAGCAATCAGTAGCACACACATCAAAGTAGTTCATTAACCATTTAAACGGTATTACTTCTTCGTTTATATTGTTATTTTCTACAGATATAATTACAGGAGTTATTGTGGATTGTTTTAGAAACACCCTCGAATATTCTACGCAATTTACATTCGATTGAAGACTACATATTATTCGAATAAGGCAAATACCTTGCATAATTTCCTAATAAGCTTGAATGTTAAACAGTATAACAATTCTGACAAACACTACTGGAGTAATACATGGTTTCGGAGACTGAAATTAACGCCGAGCACGCATGACTTTCTATATAGTTTTACAATTATCAGTTATGAAGAAACGTTCCCAACTTAAGGATACTGAGAAAACGTAACATCTTATAATTGAATGCAGTTTAGTTGGATGATTTGAAAATGTAACTTACTTATTTTAACGAACAAGTGAAGTGAAGAAGTCTGATTCAATACATTTTAGCCAATTATTGTATTCATGTACTCGCAAGTTACTTTACAGTCATAGTATCATTTTGTAACTATTTTTACATGTTTACCTCAGACCCATCAATTGTTATTACACACTGAAGTTAACCGTTTCCTTCATTTTTGTAGCTTAAACAGCTTTGTTGTTTATTTATAATTTTTCGTGTATTGTGGATGTAAGCATTAATTTTAAATATGAAAAAATAGCTGTTAGAAAAATTGCGAGATTCTTGCCTTGCACTTGATTGATTAGCGGGGGGGAATGCGAGGGTGAGTGTAACTATAATTAGACAGTGGCAATCACGTAAAATTACATTTCTAGCTACCAGAATCAATCGTATGCAACAAGTTACAAGGCCGAAACCTTTAAAATGTTGCAGATAATAATTGAAAAGTTAAGCAGTGAGGGGAATCAGGGTAGTGATGTTAGGATTGTCAGTCTGATGTCTTAAAGTTGACGCAAAATTTCGTACGCACAATAGATTTCAGTTCTTTCTGGAGATTTCTTAATTGATTTCAGGTCAGAATTCATCCTGAACTAGCACCAGTTGGAGGAACATTGGGAGCACTGGACAGCTGTTTCGTCCTAGTATGGGACTCCTCAGCAGTGCACACCCATGATCCCGCTAGTGTCTGTAAAGGTTGACGTAAAGAAGCAGGAATATGACGTATCTGCATAAAAGCGAATGAAAAAAAATTCTACAAACATCAGACTGATGATTCATTTTCCTTCATCACAAATAAAAATCTATACGAAGAGTTGATTCTAAAAATACACTTATGAGGTGAAGCAGTACTGTAATTTCATTTGAATAACCACAATTACAAATACTCGATATAGAAATCAGCACGAATAGAAATGATGCATAAATGAACTACACCATGCGTAACTGAGTGAAATGAATATTCGGTAGAAGGCAGGCGTTCAACAGTTCTATTTTAACGCGCAAGAACGCACTCATTTTAATTTATTGTAAATAAATAAGAAAAAGAGAATTTAGGCGCTTTGGTTGGACAAAATCTCATTATATTTCTTTTATTATGCATCCGTATAGTATTATTTACTGGGTGACCTATTGAGCACAATCAACTACTACTCATAATCGTATCCGTGTAATCCACAAACTTTCTGAGTGCTACTGCTTTTCAGTCACTGATTTAAATAACAGTGAAACTGATATTACATCATCTCAGTTTAATGTGTCTGGTGTTGATTAGATGAACAAAGCTCTAGACATCAATCTTTCTTTCCACACACTAAAGTGACTTTTTAAAATTATCAAAGATTCGATGGACTGAATTCATATTTTATTCTAAACGCATCTAACCTTTTTCCAGTCTGAAACTATTTCAGCTAAAATTGTGCTGTGGGACAGATGATGACTTAGCATGCGTAATAGAAGTCCTATCCAGCCACTTAAGCCAATAAAGGTTTACAACCTCACCAAATGACTTTCCGCTTTTGCTGTAAACTCTACAATTGACTTCTACGTTACTGACACCGTGGCACATGGTCAAATACTTCAAGCTTTCTCATGTCCTCCACCTTTAGTGACCATGTTTTACAACCATAAGGTGAAACAGTGCAAACTCCTAGGCAAAATGTTACGTCACTTTCAGGAATTCGGACAGCACGTCGGCCCAGTAAATGACGTAGGTCTGCAAAGGTTAATCAAACTTTTTGTATCACTGCAGAGATTTAATCAGTCACTGACCTATCACCATTAATCTCACTTCCATAGTAAGTGAAATAATCAATAAGCTGGACTACTTTATTCTATACTGTCTGACAAAGTACCGAAGAAGATCATTTCTGGAGCAACAATTTGCGATGTGTTGAGAAACGCATCCCAAAACATTGGCAAATTGCCACCCGACGTCCAGAAGTTTCTGTATCTTGTCAGCTTTTCCACCTTGCACGACTATGTCTTCTGCTTACTCTAAGTCTACTAAAGGGTCTCCTGCGGCAAAACCAATCTCTGTTAAACAGGACTTTGAGAGGCAGAGACCCATAAGCACGTCTCTGATAAAATTCAATTAGAATGAAGAAAGAAAACAGCGTCGACGGGTACCACATGACAAACACAATCTACCTGATAACTCTCAATAAGCTCATAGTTGTTCAAACATAGAATGTTCAACGGGATGAAGTAATTATCCGAAAGCCGTTTCGTTGAGACACTGTCATAAGACATCTAGGCCAGTGAATTCGAATATCGCCATCGACTCCAGAAATACAACTAGTGTCAGAAGCTAGTGTGGATTTTGTTCCAGAACCACGCGCACAGTGAATATGTAGTCGACACACTCACGATCAAGTCTAAAACCTTCCTGCTTTACTTAGGCTTACTATCCTCCAGCTTTACTTCGGCATCTAATGATTTTAGATATAGCCTTACAGACACTACGTTCATCAGACTCATCCCGCAGTAGTTATTATTAGAGGATCGCTCACATTCCTTGAAATCTCTCATAGGCAGTGATTGCTATCAGTTAAACAGTATCAGGTCTGATTCCACCACACTAGAGAACATTTCAGCTTATCCAATCAATAATCCTTGATCACTTTCTATTCAGCATTGGTGCCCTTCCTCGTTTCAGTTAATTCACAAGCTTCTCAACTTTTGTGAAAGTTGAAGGCTTTATCTCAATATTTTACTCAGGATCCGAAAGGATAGCGGGTCAAAAAAGAGTAGGTGGAGGCCAGTTGAAATGTTGTCGAAAGTGCCTCATGCAACATTCTAGTCTGACCTCCTACGAGTGAATCGCAGACCGACCCTTCTTAGCCATAGTATCACTAACCATTGATATCTTGCTCCAGTTTCCCTGAATATTTTGAATACAGTTATAGCAGTTGATGGCCGTTGTGCTCATTCGACAGGGATTCCAAAAGTGCGACCTAAGTATCTTTCGGTCTCGCTTAGCTTACCCAGTTGTGTACCTGAGGAAATTCGGGTTAGTAACTGTTATATGTTCGTACGCCAACGGTTATATAATCCATATATATATATATATATATATATATATATATATATATATATATATATATATATATATATATTCCGAATAATAGGATACGCACGCTTAGCTGACAGCTAACCTAGTACGCAAGAGCCACTGACTGCAACCCCGAGGCGAATAGAGAGAAGACAAGGTGGCAGATGGGAAAGCTTATTACTCCGAGAGTATAATAACCAATCAATCCAAAACACGTGAATATGTAAACACATAAGATATGACCTTGCCCGTAACTGGAGAAATTCGCATAGGAAGAGTAAAAGTTAACCGATCAGCGAATTACATTACAATGGGGGCAGAAATTAAACTACTAGTCATACTGTAAAATGGTGTGAGAATGCCGAGTTAAAAATGTTCAGATCGATAACAATGTTTTATACAAACTGGTGCCTTACAACAATAATATTGATGCATGACCACACAGTCAAACGGTCATGTACTTTAGACGTACCACACACAGTCCCATTGAAAGTTTGGTTGATGGTTTTGAATCCAGTTATAAACCCATATCATAGGTACTAGAAGACCGCAAAGCATGGGCTGTCCTTTACTGAAACTCCACCTTCTCATAGGAAATGCAGCATCTGTATGATACTGCTGGTCATGCACATGAAAAACTTCGTTGCTATTATACCTCCGTTTAGCCAGGTGTTTGACTTCGCCCTCGGACTATAATCATAGTGTAGTGATTAACACTATAACGGTAACTGCTTTTTGTTTTACAACTACTCAACAGAACGTTTCTAGTATGGTAGTACCTCAAGGAGGCAAGTGATCCACCAGAATAGGTTAATGTACTACTGTGATATACAAGCCCAAGCAACACATCAATGTAGCAGTTATCGGTTGGGTTAGACAGTATACACTTGCTTCATTAAGGTATGAAGCATAATCATAAATTAATTATCTAGTTATTTCAGATCAATATATATGCTACTGTTTATCAACACACATACATACACACACACAAGGTACACGACCAGAGTTTTGAAAGGGTAAGCACCTTCACAAAACTTGAACAATTATTGTGTGACCATTTTACACATATCTACCTTTAGTAACTTTTGTAGGTAACGGAGTTACCAATTTAAAATAATATAAACTTCTGTTTATCATTACTGCAGTCTAACGACAACAAGATCATTGCATGAACAAGCACATTAGGTCGTAGAAGCAAACGGTTGTCACAGAATGAGTATTATTCATTGATATACAATATACCAGACATTAACAAATGAACTTTATGCCTATTATAAAAAGCTTAAAATTTAGAAATTAAAAGTCAGCAGAAACTAGGGCTATACAGAAATTCTTTTTTGTACTGCATAGCTTCTTTATAACAGAAAAATAAAATAAAATAAAAATGTAGTTAGAAAACATAAATGTGGTAAACTAATCTTGGGGAGGGAAAATGTAATTGATCAAGAAAGTATAAGATCTGTACACACGCATACTTAAACAAACGCACACATATATATATATATATATATATGTATATATATATATATATATATATATATATATATATATATATATATATATATATATATATATATGCTGATACAAGGGCTGAGGAAAAATGAAGTATCAAAGAATTTAACAATACAAATAAAATTTGTATTGTTAAAAAAATGAAATTCCTGTCGAGTTAGTGGACATGAAAGTAAAGTGTATATCTGATAACAGTAGAAAACAAACAAAAAACCCACTTTAATGACTTATTAGGTGAATAGTTGTTTTATGAAAGCTCTCAAGTTTTTCCCATTTAAGAATGACTTGTAAATGGTAGACTTTCAATAAAATGAACAATACTTGTGTAGGATAAATCATTAGGACACATTGGTTTGCTTATGTATAAGTGATCTGAATCGATACGAACTAATTCACCCATATCACGATCTACAATATGTACAGAATACCAACAAAGAAACAAAATAAATGATTTCGGTGAATACAAGTATTGAAACAAAGATCAGAAGACCCTTTTGTAAAAAAAATAACACCTCATAAATAAATGTCGATATGAGTTGAATAGTTTTAAACTAACAGTGATTATGAGTAGTGTTCATCATGGACTGACATCAGTTGGAGAACCATTGAGAATCTGGGAGCACTGGATAGCTGTTTCGTCCTAGTATGGGACTCCTCAGCAGCACGCACCCACCACCCCGCTAGGGACCGAACTCAGGACCCTGAGGTCTCACGGCGAACGCGTTAACCATTCAGCCACTGGGGTTAATTTCCAGTGGTTCACAATTTCCAACTTCTGTCAATTTATGTCCCATAATAGGACGAAACAGCTGTCCAGTGCTCCCAGATTTTCAATGGTTTCCCAACTGATGTCAGTCCATGATGAATACTACTTCTAAATTTAAAAAAAAATTCCCATCATCTCAAAAATATAATGGTTGAATTACGGTGCGAATTACAATTTCCTATCGACTTAAATCATTATAAATAACATCATGAAAATTATGCTTACAAAGTAAATTGTTATGATTATATTGTATTCTATCAATACGCTTTAAGTTCCATCATACAGTCAAGGGAATGATACTTTACTTCTAATAATTATTGATACCAAATTAAATTTGACAGTCCTCTCAGAACAGTGATCAAAATTATACTTCGCATGAATAATAAAATATAACAAAATTATTGAGAAATTGAGCATCGTAAAGTAATCAGCGACACAAATACTACACTGTATCTATTCTCGATTATAAGAGAAATTTGATACATAAAGGCGCCAATTAGGAAGAAATTTCCTTAGAAAAAGTAAATTGTCACTGATTCTTCAGAAGAAGTGTGAGTAAAAAGGTATGCGGGAAATTCTAGGGGATATTTTATCGTGTTCTCAGATAACTTTGCATCACTCAACCAACAGCTGATATCTACGCAGAGTAATAACACTGAAGTTTTAGGATGGAAACATTACTGAAAGGTATGTTATCACCAGATGCTTTTACACATCACTGCCAAACTACTGGTTAAATGTATGAACAAATTGCAGCATGAAAATCATGCGTAGTGCAACCCATAGGGTCATTTCCACCTTAGTCTATAAAAAAAGCAGTCCACCATTAATAATCATGAAAACGTCAGCTAAACCACTGTACATTTTGAAACTACTGGGAAATAATTCCTTGAAAGCTGACTAGTGATATGAAAAAGCAAACTAGGCTGGGTTTACCGATATCAGCGTTCTGAGATCTTTCAGCCTAAAATGCTAAACACTAACGGATATCTATTACTGCTCGACTGTCCACAATATGAAAGGTGACTGTGCTGTAAAGGGATAAGACAAATGAGCGTCGTTGGCGGTAGCCGTGGATTTTAAAATGCATCTTTCATGGATTCGCCGAAGTCCATCTAGACGTAACAGTTTTTGAGGCCAAAACCATTCTTTAAGAAGTTTTATGCATGAATATTTAAAAAAAACTGGAGGTGTGTAGACTGGGTAGTCTTTAAGGATAATGTAAAGTAGCCAGATGCTTGCAGATAATTTTATTGGAATAACCGATCGCTTAAGTGGAAAACAATTCTATTATTAAAGTCCATTTCAACCAGAGATGTGGAAAGAAACCTGCAAACCGTATTAGGAAGAAAGAAGATAAAGAATGGATCTCGATGGGCACATCGAAGCTGATAGAGCAAGGAGAGGAGGATGGTGAAGCAGAAGATAAACCAGTGCAAGGATGCTCAACGACGAAAAGAGAAACTGAGTACAATGTATAAAACACTACTCTGGACAAAGAAGTGAAGAAGAGTGCACGCAAGGACAAAATGCACTTCTACGAAACACTAGCAAATGAAGCAAAACAGGCTGGTGGTGGGAGAGACAGAGACCTGACAACATTGTATCAAATAACCAGGTTACTCACTGTCTGGGAGGGAAGAGATCAGCACAGATGAAACCAATAAAAAGATGATGAAGGAAATATAATCACCAGAGAAGAGAAACAAAGGAAACGATGGGCCGACCACTTCAAGAAGCTCTTGAATCGACCACCGCCACCAACTGCACTTCGTCCAGAAATACCACCAGCATTTCAGCCACAGAACTACAAGTGAACATAAATCGTCCAACAAAATTGTAAGTCCTGAACGTCATAAAGCTACTGAAATGAGGGAAAGCAGCAGGTCCAGATGGGATCCCACCAGAAGCACTGAGAACAGACGCATAAACAACAGCCGACATGCTCATACCACTAATGCAGAAGGTCTGGAAGGAAAGGAAGGTGCCTGGCGATTGAAACAATGGCTACTATGTCAAACTCCCGAAGAAGGGAAACCTAAGTCTTTGCAAGAAGTGGCGCCGAATCATGCTCCACTTCTGTCCACCCCAAGCTAAATCTTAAGCCGCATCATCCTGGAGAGATCAAAGGATGCACTGGATACAAAACTACGACCGGAACAGGCTGGCTGGATTCAGGGAGTACAATTCATGTGCGGACCAAATTGCAACGCTACACTACACATCATCATAGAACAGAGTGTAGAATGGCAGTCAACTGGATCTCTACTTCACCTTCATCGACGTTGAGAAGGTCTTTGACAGCGTCAACCGAGAGGTGATTTGGAAACTGCTTCAATACTACGGAATACTGCAAACCTTTATCAACCTCATTCAACAAATATATGAATACGCCACATGCCAAGTAAATCACAATGGGAAGCTCAGTGACGCTTTTAAAGTGAAGACAGAAGGTAAACAAGGCTGCCTACCATCACCCGTGATATTCCTGATTGTAGTCGACTGGATCATGCAACAAACAATGAGGAGCGAGAAGAGGAGGATACGCTGCACCACGGAAAAGATCCTAGAAGATTTGGATTTCGCCAACGATGACTTGTGTCTGATGTCTTCTGGCACAAACTTGAAGATCTACAGGCGAAAACTAACAAGTTGACAAAAGAAGCAGGACAGCGAAGACAGGACTTCAAGTGAATATAGAGAAGACAGAGGTGATGAAGATACCCAACCAACACCACCAACAACAACAAACTCCAATCACCATCAACAGGAGGAACCTAAAGGAAGTAGCCTCCTTCACCTACCTGCATAGGCAGCACTGTTTCAACTACAGGCAGCGGCGGCACAGACGAGGATGTCAAAGTCAGCCAGGATCGGAAAAGCAAGACAGGCGTTCATTGACCTGAAACCAGTGTGGAGATCTACCTCACTCAGCAAGTGGAACGAGATCCAGATTTTCAACACTAACGTCAAATCAGTGCTTCCGTATGGCTCAGAGACTAGGCGCGTTATGATGGCCAGAATAATTAGAATAAGCAACAAGGAACTCTGGCTGGCTGGCTGGCTGGCTGGCTGGCTGGCTGGCTGGCTGGCTGGCTGGCTGGCTGGCTGGCTGGCTGATAACAAACTAACCAAGAACCTGTCGCTCAACAAATATGCAGAAGGAAGTGGAGATGGATTGAGAATACACTGAGAAGGCCGACTGGGGACATCACGCGCCATGTCAGGCCAGGTACTCGAGTGGAACCCAGATGGGAAGCGACGAGTTGGGTGTCCGAGGCGGGGGTGACATGGATGAGATGGTGTGAGGAATAAATGAGAGCTTGTGGGCTGTTGTGGAACCAGGTTCAAAAAATTTCACAGAACAGAGTGGAGTAGAGACGAGCTATTGAAGCTCCATGTTCCACTAGGAACCCAAGGGACAAATAATAATCATAATAATTTCAACCAGCGCCATAGTTTCAATTCATATCACAATAGAGTCTTTCACAGTAAGGTTTCAGCTGATTTAAGTTCTATGGTTTGCCAACCAGTATACTTTATTATGCAAGAGTCAGAAAACACAATAAATTCAGCTACCGTTGCCTAAATATGTTCATGTTGAAAAGTTCGGAAGCTAGTCGCTCCATCCATCCAAATCAACACAGTATCAGACATTACTGCGTAACGGTCCGGGTTGCCATACCTCATATCAGTACATCAAGTAAAAAGGTAGTGAATTGCAGGATGAAGAGGATAAGATAAGTACGAAAAGAGAAACAGGAAGAATGAGAAAATAGTGAGATTCGGTATAACATCGTTAAGGTGAGGATAATGTTTGTATACATCTAGGCAACTGACATCGGTTCTCAGCCATATCACCTAGAGTCTCCAACCACTGGTTTCTCTTGTCCCACAGACCCCAACCACCTAGTCTGCATCGCCCCACATGGCTAAAACCAACAGTCAGAGACTACATGCATTGATGCCATGTTTCAGTCTGGCCACCTCGGGTCTTTATACAGCCTGGACCCACCTCAGCCAACATTGTGTGACAAGGCAATCGGCTACTAGACATACGAAATACGTGTCCTAACCATCTCAGTCTATCGAAGTTCATAACCTAGTCAACTGACCTTCCTCTTCTCCCTTAAACTCTACACCTGATTTCTGCGTTACTCACGTGGCGACACCACGGAATATGGCCTATACTACGAAAGCAATGGTGGTCAAACAGCTGAAGTCAGCCTTCTCATGTCTTACACCTTCAATGGTCATGTTTCACAGCCATACAGTAGAATAGACAGGACTGCTGTACAGGTGCGGTACACGCCACCCTTAATATACAGACGGATATCACGGAGGCGACATAGGTGGCAAAAGCCAGCCAGGCCCTTCGTTTCCGTGCAGAGATTTCATCGGCCACTGAGCCACTAGGGCAGGACTGATCTTACTTCCCGGGGAAGTGAAGTCGTCGACACACTCAGTCACTACACTCTCCATTGTAAACAGTTGAAGACCAATCCTAGAGCAACAATTTGCATTTGGGTGGTGAGAAACGCATCCCAAACATTCTCAAATTCCCACTCAAAGTCTCCACAAGACTCTGCATATTGTCAACGTCTTCGCTTATCAAGACTATGTCATCTGCATATTCTACGTCTAATGAAAATTCTCCTACGATTAGGTCAACCTCTGTGAAGTCAGGTGATGAGAGGGAGACTTCCATAAGAATATCTATGATAAAATTGAAGAACGGAGAGAGTCCGAACGCTTGGCTCTCGAGAGGAGGCTGGTGCGTAAGCAGAGATTACATAGAGACAACGGCGAGTTTCACTATTCCTTTTACTTCTCACTGTGCTGTTCAACCAGACAGCACAGAGGTGACTATCAACTGGGATCCAGTCTAGTAGTGAGTTTTCTGCCCTAGTGCCAAATGCTATGCCTACACTTGCAAGACCCCGAGACTTAGCTATCGAATCTCCAGAAACTCGAAGGGTGAATTTTGCAGATTCACCAGATTGGTCGGGAGAGGTCAGGTGAATAACCGCACTTCAGTCCTGTACGCATGTCTCACAAACACAGCACATTCATGGCCCGACCTGCTAGTCTTTGCCAACGAAGCCTGTTGACCAATTTGATGGAGGGTGTGGATATTGAAGGCCCTGATGTGTAGTTTGGAGCTTGGTTTAAGTAGACCAGGGATGTTGCTCTGTGGATTCACATCGTTGTCGAAGGTTGCAGAGCTAGGAGAAATCGAAGATGATGTAGTGTAGTGTTAATTGAGAGACTTGAAGGAAGATTGGAAGGTAATGATGGGGAAGGTGGGTAGCAGTCTGAGGAAACTTGAGTGCTGATCGAGTTATGAGGGCGGTTGACACTTCCCAGCTGCCCACACCATGGAAGGTTATTTCTTCTTGAGGTACGTGAGAGAGATTTGTATGACCGCAAAGCCCATTGAACATCTGCATGAGTCCTGTCATACGAAGCCATTTGAGTATGATTATTTTGAATTTTTGTTGTTTTGGGGCCAGACGGTCGAAAGGAGACGACAAGTGAACCAACACCGACGGTCCGACAGACCGTCCGATGGGAACACCTCACTGCTGTCACACCCCAAGCAGCTAGCAGCAGTACAACCTCACCCTCAGACTCCCATCATAGTGTAGTGATTTACATCACAACGGTAACTGTTTTTTGTCTAAGCACTATCCAACAGACCTTTTTGGTATTGTAGAACCTCGAGGGAACAAGTGTTCCACCAGCATAGCTCGTTGGGTCATTGTGATATGCAAGCCCAACCACCATGTCAAGGTAGCAGGTAGTTACTACCATAATTTCATCATACTGTGGCTACTAACAGATTCTTACGGAATACTGCTTTCAGTAAACTTGTTAAAAGGCTGTCACTTAGAACAACTGACTGGAAGAATTTCAAAGGATGAGCTTGGACGTGAAAATATCTCACCTCTAGTATCTTCTGGTACGAGCAAAACGGACCAAAATCTATTCACTGGTGTTACACGACCTTCAGCCATGGATAGAACACGTACAGACTGACGATAAGCCCACGTATTAAACCATACATGTAGATTTAACAAATAGTTTGAATCTGTGAAGTGAAAAGAAAATGTACAGTGTATATTAGCGTATGCACACGTACAGTACAATGTATAAACTAAACGCACAGAATTATAAAGTTTAGCGGAAAATCTTTTCAAAATCGTTGAACATCTAACTTAGACAAGACGCGTACCGAAATTCGTTAAGAAATTTACATTCTGATGAATGACAGCGGAAGAATTACTGAACATTATTCAAAATAAAAAGGAAGTAATAAGTTCATCATGTTATTACTCAAACACTGTAAGTAATCATTAATGATCGGGAACTTGGTAGTCTGTAGAGCAAGCGAAATAATGTTAAAGACGAGGTGTGCTAGTGAGGACATAGATAATAAAGTACCAAATTTCAAAATCTATCCTAGAAAACAGAAGTAAACAAACAAATCAATTTTGAACCTTCGAGAGAAATAAAGAAGCAGAAAGAATTCATTTTAACGTGAGAAGTTTACTAAATCTCGAACACTTACAATAGGGCATCTTCCGAAATTTATGAAATATTGATAAGAAAACAAGACCAAGAACCAAGTACCCTGAATTGAGATTCTGTCTAGTCTCTATCTAAGACTAAACGTTACGCATTATAACAACTTCATTTTCATGCGTAGCATTCTACAAGGGGCTAGACAGCATTTAGTTAAGCTTATCTACTACGCACTATCTTACAATGTATTCTCCTAATCAGTAACTACAAGAATTGAAAAAAATGCTTTTTGAAACACCGATAACAAACCTTTTCCAGTTACTGAGAAAACAGCCAATAGGAATACGATTCAGTATTCACAAACATCCCTGCCACTGGAATACTGATCTTATTCTCAGTAACTGATTGCCTTAAATAAAAGCAACATTTCTCGATAAGTATGTACTAAGGAAATACAATTTCACTTCAACAGGCGGTTTCGCGTTCAAACTAGTATGGAAATGAACATGTGTTGAGTTTCCGTCGTTGTATGTTTCAAAGTAATGGGAAACTGAGAAATGACAGCAGTAATCGTCAAATCCAATAAAAACAAGCCAACAGTGTTGACGGATAAATAGATTGTTTAAAGAGTATATGCAAAAAGTACTATATGAAGAAATGACCGAACTCTTAGACGTAGTCATAAGGATGATTAAGAAGTCTGCGCCCAGTCTAATGCACTAGATGAAGCAAGCTATACGTAAGCAACTTAATGCCTAAAACTGATTATCCTAGTAGGATACACGTTGTATAATTAAGTTTCATGAACGGAGTCACTTTAGTAGGCTGATAGCTGACTTCAGAAACACCAACATGTGAGTTACCTAGTGTTAGAAGGCCCCAGATTTGCATAAAACATTATTGTTTTCTCGCCATCTTTATGGCACGGTCATTAGTTTATTTCCTTCACTATTATCAAGGCAATTCGCTGACTGGTCAATGGCTGCTTTTACTATGCCCGTGCCCTAATTACTGAACAAGATCGTATATCATGTTTATATACGTATTTTTGGGTTAATTGACTTTTCTTCTCGGACGTAATAAACTCTCCCATCCAGTCCACTCGTCTCAATTTTTTCCGGGATTGGAGTTGCTGGATCTGGCATATGGAATTAACTATTTACAACACATTCACAGCTTTCTTACACACAAACTCCGTAATGCAAATGATCCCATTCACTTATGAATTAGAAAATAAGACAGAATTATTTATGCTTGATTGTGAAGTCGAACAAAGAGATGTTTCTCAAGATGAAATCGTTTTACTCCGTATTTACAAAGACAGGTAAGGAAAAATATTTAAGTTGTTGAGTTATGAGTCCGATTACTACATCAAAAATTTTAAATAAGGAATGCAAACACACCGAAGAGACTGAATTGATCTCCGGAGCTTTATAAAAACTTTATGATGGTATATGAGAGAAATAAAAGTGACATTATTTGTAATTGCAATACAACTAAGACAGAATACAAAGCCCCTGTATACATTGTATTTATGAACTTGATTTGTTCACATATACTACTACAGCGTAATAAGACGAAGATTATCTGAAACATGTGATGTATTAGCGTTATACATTTCGAACAATCCGACCACACATGGACTTGTTGAACTATTTATATGAAAATTTACGAAAAGGTCAATGAAGTTAATGGGAAACATAGGAATAGGAAGGGATAGAAAAGGAAAACCTTACTCTTGGTATGAAAATTAAAATCAATACTATCAAGGTAGGTTCAACGTGAGTACGAATTGTTTTTGTATACATAAAGGGGGTTTAAATTTACGGATGGCAAGAGCTTCAATAAATTTAAGCACTCGGCTCTGACCACTTTTATGTAGTACTTTAAAGGCTGTTTTCATGTCTATCCTATGGTTAGTTTCTAGTATATGTTTAGCGATAGACGAAGATGGATGTTTGTCACCTGCACTTATCGGATCTGTTGAGGTCATTTGTTTTTATAGCCACTTAGGTACATGTTCAATCTTCCTTAACTGCATATCACGATTACTCCTCCTTATATATGTGTGTCAACACATACATGTAAATTGATAAACACAGTGGGATGTGATGTAATCGTTTATATGTTGTTTCGGTTTGTGCTGTAACATGGACTTGGTCTTCTCTACAATGATGACCTTAGCTGCATAATACGTTTTACAGATGGCCGATCTAAGTCTTTTCCTCACAACAAAGCTATGTGAATCACCCTAAATGGTAATGAGATGTAGACATTTATCTTAGCAACGGAACGCTGTGTACTTTTCAATGGTACATCACTTTTGCACCGGTCGATAAATCTCAACGGGTATCCATTCTGTGTCAGAGTTGTCGTCAGTAGGTTGGTTTCTTCCTCCTTGGTGTCATCATGGACTGACATCAGTCGGGGAACGATTGAAAAGCTGGGAGCAGTGGACAGCTATTTTGTCCTAGTATGGGACTCCTCAGCAGTACGCACCCACAACCCAGCTAGGGGTCGAACTCAGGACCTTCAGGTTCCTCGGCGAATGCGTTAACCATCCAGCCACTGGGTCGGTCCCCAGTGGTTCACAATTTCCAACTTCTGTCAATTCACTACATAGCGCGACTGCCACCCAAGGTCTTCAGTTAGCATCCACTTCACTTCCGACTGGTTGACCCCACAGGTCACGGCTTCTCATTAGAACTTCCTAACATCTATCTACTACTACACTTAATACACTTAATAACACGATGCCCAAGTTTTTGAAATCAATCGACCGTATTGTTGGTCTGAATACGTTCAAACTTATATTATTTGTCATGTATGGATAAAAACATTGGAATTCTTCGCTTACCTTAAAAAACAAGACCATTAGTGGTTGGTGTTCCTCTCAAGATATAGGTGAATATGTGGCAACTAGTGAGTGGTACATAAATCGTTGAAAAAAGATATACCGAAGGTTACGTTAGGGAAATTTTGTATTACACTAACTAATCAACGAACCTTGGTGAAAATTTCGCTAACTGCCGGTTTCTTTGAGATCAAGCATGTGAAGATTTGAAATATTTAGTGTCCGCTAACAACTCCAATGTCCTTCAGTATTGCATGTAACGACTGTTGACAATTTTCAAGATTATCAACACATATATGTCACTATGGCTATTACCACTAGCTACACCGAAGGCTTTATATTTTTAGACGCTTGCTGTGTAATAACTAGATAAAGACCAAACAACAGGTACAGAGGACACGATGGAGTATAAAAATTAAGATATCTCATACAAACTCGAAGGAACTGATGTCTCCTCTGAGATGGTGAGCCTCCTAGCTTGGTGGCCAAATTGCGAAATTATCGATAATATTCGGTCAGCACTCAAGACTAGACAAGGTGAAACCTGTTATTCTTTAGTGAGCAATCAATGTATCTAACTCAGTCCCAACGGAGATCAATCGCGGTCCGAATAGCTCAGTGGTAACGCACTGATTAAAAACAGTGGGTGATGTGACAATCTCAGAGGGGACGTCACTTCTTTCAAGGTTGCAGATAAGTCTTGCTGACGATTATCAAGAAGCACATAACCTAGGTCCATGGCTTCCTGTCGACTGCCTGCAACCAACTAAAATGCTCACAATGCTTACACATAACAATTAAAGTGATCAGAAAAACTATATTTCTTGACCAACGTTTACGAAGAACGTTACGTTAAACGGAGGTTAAAGGTCGTGAGGATAATTCAGCACTTTAACTTAGGAAGCTTTGTAAACTGAAGCATCCCCAGAAACATGCATTCAGATCACATGATAATCCGAAGAGTAATAAGTGTGAAGGTGACATGTGCAATAACAGAGAGAATAAATCGATGAAGAAAGCTAATCAACTAAACATAAGCATTATTTAAAGAAAAGTATTACATCCAGATTTAATTGAGGTCAACGTCATACAAAGAGATCAAGTGATAAAAAAGGTTAGTACAGAATATTTTAAAAATCCTCAAAAGTACGTAAAACGTTTGAAGGAAATATTTGAAAGATTAAAACAAACCGAAAGGGAAGAATTTGATATATATCTGGTATATTGATAGCTCAAACTTTAAGCAGGCCGCCAAACTTGACAATAATTATGATTCAAACATTGAATGAGTGAACTACTAAGTGTAATACCATCCTTACAAAAAAATTGGATTAGTTCATACATCCAACGATTTATAACGTCACTGTTTACAACTAAATTTTAAATTGGTTTACTAGTTTAGCTCTGAAAGTAGACTTTAGTAACTAACCAGTAAACAGTATTAAAAAAAATGCTACACAACATGAAAATATGCTTACTTACTGAATGTTATAAATATATTTTTCGGTAATTTCATTACATCAAAACGTATGACAGTAAAACTACTAAAAATCAAACTAATAGAACGCTAACATACTTCTTTCAAGTTGAATAGCTTCCGGAGTAAGTGCCCAACGAAATGGACGACGATATAAAGTGAATAAAGATTGATTGCCTCTATGCGGTGTACTCATGAATACAATCGCTCGTGTACTACTAGCCAAGTCCTGATAATTTACAGAATTCAACTGGGAATCATTGGATAAATTAATTAAGGATGTATCACAGTCATCTTCGTACAACGCATGACTACAACTAGATGAATAAAATAATTGATTTTCAGTGGATGTATTAAAAAAATCAGAGTTTTTATTTTCATCAACAGAGAAAACATTAGGGTTGTGAAGTTTAGATACAGAGTCAGTTTCATCAATTTCATGACAATACCATTCACAAGAACCATCTTTAGCATATGGAGATTCACGATTCATGTTTTGATGAGAACCATCTAGATTTTCTCCATCCAACACCGACATATCCCCATAAGTTCGGGAAACACGTATAGAATGACCAGTATTTGACAATGGATTTGGCTGAGAATGGTCACCTTCAGATAGCTTGGAGTTATCACTGTTACCCGATCCGGCCAATCGCAGCATTTCTTTGACAAGAATACCTATCGATAATCAAACAGAAATATTTGATATCCATCCAAAAAAATTACAAAGTGTATTAGCTTTTTAATATCCATTTCCTATATATGCAATGTAAAAATCTACATATTTACTGGTAGGTACAGTAAAAGTATTGGATTACAACACACACGAAACAAAACGCACTTAGCCGTCTCATGCACTTCTGTGCAGTAGGAGATGGAGTCATATTTATTGTGTGAAGGCTAGTGGTACTACCTGCCTGCCCAAACCTGGGTAGACAGAGCAGGGGTCGAACGCGTGACCTATTAGGCTAATAGTCATCTTCCTGAGCCAATGAGCCACAGCTTCGCGTATATAATAATATTTGCTTTATACCAAACCATAACATTGCTCACAGTACAGAATTCTTAGTCTGTGATATCGCATAAGTGTTTACCCGTTGTTCAACATTATTCAAATATGAAAAAATGGAACGCAAGAGTAGAGACTTAGTTATACCAGACAGTCTAAGTTTTTGCATATAAAAGGTCAAGTGTAGGATTTTCCTAAAAATCGGCAAGATATGAGGGAACCAAAAAAGATGAGAAGAAAAGCATAAACCAAGATAGACCACGCTTGCTACATTCTTTACAACAGAGGCATCTACAAGACAAGTCATGGGACTGAAGCAATGTTCAAAGATCTATTTCATGTCTGAAGCTAAAATTAACTATCTGACATTTGTAGAGATTGAGGGTGAGGCCATTTAAGGCAGACCAGTAACCAATTTCGTTTAAGAAGTTATTAAACTGAGAACAATCAGAAGAGATGATCGGCATGAATACTGTCAGGTCATCAGTCTACTTAACAAAGTTAGCTTTAGTTGAGTTGCAAAAAAAGAGAAAAAGAAAGGAGAAAGAACAGCGCTTTGAAGCACACCGGCTTCACTAAGCAGGAAAGTAGAGCGTTTCCCTCTGTGTAGAGTGTAGTGTCTTCTTTCAGAAAAATATGAAGCAAGCCAGTCTTAGATGCAGGACTCAATGTGAGTAACGGAAAGCTTGTTTAATAAGTGGGTCTGGCGAACCAATTCGAAACCATTTGAATAAGTTAGATTGTCATCACATGGGTTGTGCGACCAAGTTTCTTGTAATGTTATTACAGCAGTATTACGACAAGTATAAGAACAAAGGAGGTACCTTACCCAGTAGGGATCTGTAGCTCAACCTGAGTATTTCGGGTAGTGTCATTTGATGAAGTTTAGTTCGCTTTAAAGCGCGCTGTCATCCACTATGATGTCTTTTTTAATTACGTTTGTCAAGTTCAAGTTGGTAGGCTCATAACTGTTTAAAAGTTCGCATCAGTATTCGGTACGATTTAAGATCGTATTGAGATAAATTAACGTAGGTACGTGAATGGAGGAAACTCATCTTGATGAATTCAAATGTTTAATGTGTAAGTGTCAAACAAGTAAACTTCATTTCAACTAATCAGTAAATACAGAGGCCGCATTGCCACATGACAACTAGAACAATATTTTGATAGATTTCTACAATGAATTCTGGTAACGAACCAACCAATAACCCATCGCCAAACAAATATGCAGAAAGAAGTGGAGGTGGATTGGGAAACACAGAGAAGACAATCTGTGGACATCACGTGCCAGGCCGTCCAGTGGAACCTAAAGGGGAAACGACGAGCTGAGCGTCCGAGGTGAGGGTGACATGGAGAAGATCATGTGAGGAAGAAATGAAAGCCTGTGGGAAGTGGTGAAGCACGGTCCAAAAGACTGCAGAGAACAGAGCGGAATAGAGACGGGCTACTGAAGCCCTATATTCGACTAGGAAGCCAAGGGACAAATAATAAGATAAACAACGACTATCAATCATTCCTGATTGTAGTAAACTGGATCATGCAACAAACAGTGAGGAGCGAGAAGAGGAGGATATGCTGCACCACGGAAAAAAACCTAGAAGATTTGGATTTCGCCAACGATGACTTGTGTCTGATGTCTTCTGGCACAAACTTGAAGATCTACAGGCGAAAACTAACAAGTTGACAAAAGAAGCAGGACAGCGAAGACAGGATTTCAAGTGAATATAGAGAAGACAGAGGTGATGAAGATACCCAACCAACACCACCAACAACAACAAACTCCAATCACCATCAACAGGAGGAACCTAAAGGAAGTAGCCTCCTTCACCTACCTGCATAGGCAGCACTGTTTCAACTACAGGCGGCACAGACGAGGATGTCAAAGTCAGCCAGGATCGGAAAAGCAAGTCAGGCGTTCATTGACCTGAAACCAGTGTGGAGATCTTCCGCACTCAGCATAAAGTGTGAACATGATCCGGATTTTCAACACTAATTCAGTCAAGTCAGTGCTGCTATGTGATGGTTCAGAGACTTGGGGTGTTACGAAAGGCATTTCCAACAAACTATAGACATTCATCAACAACTGTCTACGCTGGCTTGTTACTGAAGATCAGATGGCCAGAATAATAAGAATAAGCAACAATAAACTCTGGCTGGCTGGCTGGCTGACAACAAACCAACCAAGAACCTGTCGCTCAACAAATATGCAGAAGGAAGTGGAGATGGATTGAGGATACAGTGAGAAGGCCGATTGGGGATATCATGCGCTAGGCCAAGTACTCCGGTGGGACCCAGATGGGAAGCGACGAGTTGGGTGTCCGAGGCGGGGGTGACATGGAGGAGATGGTGTGAGGAATAAATGAGAGCTTGTGGGCTGTTGTGGAACCAGGTTCAAAAAACTTCAGAGAAGAGAGTGCACTGGAGATGTGCTACTAAAGCACTATGTTCCACTAGAAACCCAAGTGACAAATAAATAAATAAACAATCAAAATCAATCTATAGTTCAGAGTATCAAAGATACTAAGTTTTTTAAATTCATCAGTGGTCTGATACAACGTACTTTGAAGCGTTGAAAAAAGACGCTATACACATAAAATCAGTTTTTCCTAACGTAAGTAACAGGACAAGAACAGTAAAAGCATGAAACTGCATAAAAATTCCAAATTGTTGAGTTCTTTTTTTTCATTATTATACAACCAACTGATAGTAGTAGTTACTAGCAAGCTGAGTAATTGGTTGGTGGCATCTCTTAATGCTAAATGACAATGTTTCTGAAAATCTTGAGAGATAAAGTATATTCTTCCCAGCTTTACTTAAAACCATAACAAAAGGTTTACTTTTATACAGCTTGAATGTAAATATTTCAAGCCAGAACGGTTGTTTAACAAACACTGGATAATGACTGTGAGCAGCTAATGAAAAAGATTCATAGAAACATTTAAACAGGTTTGTTGAAAAACGATAAATTAATTTATCTTGTTAGCAAAGTCTCGAAAGCATGACTCGAATTACACAGCGATAGTGAGTAAGAAAGGTACCAACAAAAGTTATTACTTGATGACAAAACTGTTCAGCATAATTCCGCTAGTCCCCAGAACTTAATACACTATACTTATTAGCATCTAGAGATCAATTTGAAAACCTAATTCAAATCCACAGTAATTCAGTTGTATCATGAACAGTTTTGTAAATTTGTTGGTTTCTCAAAAATCTTATTCCAAACAACAAATTGCAGTTTCTACTATCCACACCCTTTTTCAGACCAGAAAATCAAACTTGCAAGTCAAAACTCTGGAATGTTAGGCCATGAACTTGAGCGGCTTATGAGATAAACACACAGGATCCAAGCGTGATAATTCACTTAACCTTAGTTAGCCAATACAGTAGGTCTGCGAAATTCAGGTTTCAAGTTTCTGGGAATTTTTTGGGGTGTTATAGATGTACGTATGGGATTCAGTCCTAACATAGAATGAGCATTGCTCCATTGGATCCCAGTCAACAGTTGTCTGTGCGCTGTTCGACTGAATAGTGTAGTGAGGAACAGAAAAAGATACCTTTGTCAGTTTTTAATGAATGTTTACATATTCATTGACTGCAATCAGGATAAAGTGGAAGACTAGTTGTACAGAAGTGTCCAGTCAACTACAAAAAGCCAAATGTTTAGATGCAGTTATCATAGCAGTTGGTTTTAATGTATAGGTACGAAGGTTAGACAGTGTATAAAGAATGAAGATAGAAGAGTCACTGGTGATGGGCATAAACAAGGAATATGGGTCTGTGATTCAATTGTAAGAAAGACGACTGAAACGATAGACAAAATAATTTGAGCTACCTATCGATAGCCCGCTATCAAGTAGCATCTTTAGCTGAACATGAGCATCGAGTCTCTATTTCACTGGAGATATTGTGAAGGCTACCAGTAACCTAAAACCAGAATGTCCAACAAACCCTACCTAGTGAAGTTGCACCAGAGATGATTATTATTTAAACTGACTGCGGTGTTAACAGATGCGTAGAAATCATGTATGAATCAATCTCACTGATTACGATCACTGGCTGTAACAGTCCTCAAGAAAAAAGTACTTCTACTGCCATAACTACAAAAAATCGGTCTGATAAACAGTGTCTAAGACTCTCGATTTTATAATCATCAGACACTTAAGAAAGGTTCAGAACAGGAAACTCGAGAAAACTAGGCAGGTTTTAGGCTTGTTCATTGTTGTATTGACCATAAGTTCACCCTTCATCAAATTGCCGAACACAGGCACAGTTACCGACGCTAGTCGTATTTCTCAAATTTAATAGTGGTATCCAGCTCTATCAACCGAGGTGTTGTGGTAATGTTTCTTATTTAAATAGAGTCTATATTAAACACATAACTCCGTTTAAGGTTTAAAGTCCGAACACTTATGACGGTGTAAGATCTTACATATAGGAATTAAGTGAATTATTTGCATCAATTGGCTTACACTCATTCCACGAATAAAACCGCCTAAAAGAGCCTCTTCGATGAAATAGTCTACGTCACTTAAACGTCTTGAGATTTTGTAATTGCCACTTTATTTGCATTTATCGCAGATATGCATTTGGAAATCTCCCTCTCGTAAACAAACCTTATAAGGATTGAAATAGTCGCATGCGACTCCTTAGTTAACCTACATTACAACAACGATGACAGATTCTTTTCAGCCAAGCAAACTGACAAGATTTAGTCTTTTGCACAGTTCCAGTGACAAGTTGAGAATTTTTGGTCTGTGTTTTTCACCTCCTAAATTCAAGTTGTTGTCTCAAGACTGGTATGTATTAACAGCTAATCTTAAAACAGGAAGTGAGCGGTACAGCGCTTTGACATTTTTAAATGAGAAGTCGGACCAACCCTGGTAGATCAGCAATCAACGAATTTTTGGTGCAAATACAAAGGACTCGATTGGTTCTCGCCAATCCTCATCACTTGTGACACCGACGAGATGCCCGAGTATCTAATAACGCTTGGGCGTACTGCCCAACAGTTCTCCCTAATTTAGATGTGAACCATAGCCATTTAAGGTGTAGTACATAAGATAGCTTTACGCGTTCAACCAGCTTTACCTTTGCAGGATCAACTATATGCCATGGAACCACTCACTACATTTATACCTTAAATGTTGTGTGTTGAGTTCTCAGTAAAAGAGGTTTGTCATTTAATGAGGTTGTGAACCTTATTCGATTTGTGTTGCTATAAAATGCGTTATGCAGTATTAACCAAGGTAGGTTCAAGCTGGCGAAAGGTGGCCAAACATAGCATAAGGCTTTAAAGTTTTTGACTGTTATGGGAAATAGACTTTAGGTTTGTGGCTTTCCTGAAAACAGATATCTGTGGTTAGAGACCCAAAGTGATATGGCTCAAAAATCGATTTCACCAATCAAGATGCATCCTATTCGTCAAATAGGGGTGCACTCTTCGCTTGCCCCATCCTTCTCTCTCATAGCTACATTTGACGACTCTTGGTTGCTCTTTTTTCTATTTCTCTATCTAGATGTGTTGATGTGACATATGGCAACATGGGTAGTTGCGCAGTAATTAAAGCTGCAATGTTTATATTGACTTTCATACTGAGCTATTTGATGCAAGAAATTCAAAGAATATAGGAACAAAGAGAAGATGAACAAGTAAACAAATATTAGAAGTTGTAAATGAGTTACAAAACTACAGTTTTAAGAAGCCTACAACTAGCAGAAACGCTGATAAGAAATACAGAATGTTTGGTACACAAAATTGTTCGATTGTCTAGTTACTGAAAGCTTTACAGAAAAAACATGCTTTTTCAAAACTCAATAGCTTATTTTGATATTTAACCGGGGTTTTTTTCTACTTGAAAAATATAAATTTGCTCAACTGAACAAAGGAATTTAAATTATAACGAACATATCGACACGTATTTGGTTAATTTTGATCATAAACAAACAACAGAAGTGATGTATACATAAATATTAGAAAAAGAAAAGAAATCGATTATATTCTGTAAATAAAAACATTAATGCTCTGAGTAAACTCTAGATACATTTTATATAGGTGACTCTAATCTATACACTTTGTTTTTACCAGAAATTGTTCACGTGAAAAAAAAGAGAATTAATTTATTCAATAGTGACTGATGTTCAACGCATTTACACTATTAGAATCATTTCAAGTTCTACACAAATGATAATTGATGATTTAGTGTAGAACTGTTATTTATATCTAAAATCGATCCAAGTGCCTTGACTATAATTTATGTTATCAGTATTTATCCTGATAAAATAGTATTTTTGAATCACTACCATACGAGTTTGAAGAAATTAAAATCTGATGAATACTGTTCCTCTTTGCTATTTGGCTGAAGTGATAAACCCACTACTTCGCACTGAATGAATTGAAAAATGAAGCGCCAAAGTCAATAACTATTTGGAATACTCAACATTACTCTGTATCATTTACAAACACAGTTGGTTTTGAAAACCCTGATACAATATGGTGTATCATAAAAACGTTCCAGACGGATAGTTGATGTGGTAGTCGGGTTTGTATTTCTCAATGACTAAAGAAGCTATACTGGCTGGAACGCTTATCGCCGGTTATCCCAGAAAGGTCAGTTGGATAGTGGTAGGACGAAAAGCAGTTACCATTACGGTTTAAATAGCCATGCTATGATGCGGGTGCGAGACTTAAGCCGTACTACTGGCTGGACGCGGTTGTGACAGTAGTGAAGTATTTCCCTAGTATGATTAGTGGTGAAACGATGATGCTGTTTTCCCTATAAGAAGTTAAGGTTAAAAGAAGTCGACCCCGAAAATAGCACACTCCCACCCCAACGCGGCATGCCAATGCTTGCAACAGGGATTCATAAGCAGGTTCAAAAGCTAAAAAATCAAAATCACAAAAGGCGGTGTGTCATTGGTCTCAAGCACCTGTCCCTTGGGCTATACGGTCACACACTATCCCTTCTTATTCAGACACTTTAAGAACTAGCCTTCCATGATGTGGGCAGCTGGGAAGTGTCAACAACCAACACGCTTCTGTCTAAGAAACGTTACAATATGCATATTCTCGTTAAAGTATCGCTTTCGTTGTTGTGTCCTGAGAACCCGAGATAAAACGGATACAACGCTTTTTTTGTCGAAACATTATTCTAATGGAAAAAATATTTGCAACTTGATAACACTTAAATGAAATTATTAAACAAAAATCTTTTATCTTAAGTAGTAAACATTTGATGACTAAAACATAAAAAATATTTTTCTAAGACGTTTATCGTTACTCATCACAAACGCACATTAAGTGAGAGATGATAATTTTAGTTCATCTTATAAAGACTACACTACCGACTTTTACGACAAATATTTACCGTACCTATAAAAATAGTATGACATAAAGTTATTTTACTTAGTAGTATAGTTCAACCAGCAGCTTTCCATCCCTCCTCATTATGTTATTTCGAAAGTACAGCACCAAACAAAAACAATTACCTCCAGCTGAATGCGTGATCCAGATAATAGGTCGCCTGCCAACTTCTGCCTTTCTTAGTTGTTCCATTATATCTATAGCCCGTTTATCTAGAGTACGTCTTAAAGCAAAGAAAAACACTTCATTATATAAATGATAAACAATTCAATGAAAGCTGCTCTCGTAAATAATTGGTCAGATTTTCGATGTATGCAGAATTGCCCTACTGTTTCATAATTTAGTTGGAAAGCAAGGACAAACAAATGTACATAAGCATGCAAAGGCACTCACCTTAACTTCTGAAGTGGGCAAATCGAATGCCAAATGAATGGTTTCAATGAGGTATCAACGCCAATAATTCGACCTCGAGGAAACTGACGAGAAAGCCAATCCTAAAATACAACATTTATAAAGAAGATGCGATATAATTTTGAAAAATTTACGGCAAATCAGCAAATGAAAGAAACAGCTTAACACACGCATTAGATACATTTCGATATCGACTAATGTGATGAGTAAGCATGCAATGGTTTAAAAATAATTGAGAAATCGTATATCCTAAGAAACACTGTGAGTAAAACGTTTCCACCAGTTTTATAAAATTTAACTAAATAAAAAGATTTAGTGACCGACCGATAGATGTAACCTAGACGTGGTGGTCCGGCTTGAATATCACAATGACCCAACAAGCTATGCTGGTGGAACACTTGTTCCCTCGAGGTTCTACAATACCAAAAAGGTCTGTTGGATAGTGCTTAGACGAAAAGCAGTTACCGTTGTGGCGTAAATCACTACACTATGATGGGATCTGAAGGCGACGTTCTACTGCTGCTAGCTGGATGAGATGTGACAGCAGTGAGGTGTTTCCCTTGGACGACCAGCAGTGCCATGCTGATGTTGCCTTCTCAGTGGGAGGGGCGGGGGGGGGGAGTTATAAAAGGCCGATCCCAAAAAGAACACACTCCACCATACCCCATGGTCTGCTGGGCCGGCAGTGTTGGTTCACTTGTCGTTTCCTTTCGACCATCTGGCCCCAAAACAACAAAAGTTCAAAATAATCATACTCAAATGGCTGAGTGTGACAGGACTCAAGCAGATGTTCAATGGGCTTTGCGGTCATACAAATCTCTCTCACGTACCTCAAGAAGAAATAACCTTCCATGGTGTAGGCAGCCGGGAAGTGTCAACCACCCTGACAACTCGATCAGTACTCAAGTTTCCTCAGACTGCTACCCACCTTCCCCATCATTACCTTCCAATCTTCCTTCACGTCTCTCAATTAACAATACACTACATCATCTTCGATTTCTCCTAGCTCTGCAACCTTCGACAACGATGTGAATCCACAGAGCAACATCCCTGGTCTACTTAAACCAAGATCCAAACTACACACACCAGGGCCTTCAATATCCACACCCTCCGTCAAATTGGTCAACAGGCTTCGTTGGCAAAGACTAGCAGATCGGGCCATGGATGTGTGCTGTGTTTGTGAGACATACGTACAGGACCGAAGTGCGGTTATTCACCTGACCTCTCCCGACCAATCTGATGAATCTGCAAAATTCGCCCTCGGAGTTTCTGGAAATTCGATAGCTAGGTCTCGGGGTCTGGCAGGTGTAGGCATAGCATTTGGCACTAGGGCAGAAAACTCACTACTAGACTGGATCCCAGTTGATAGTCGCCTCTGTCCTATGAGGCTGAACGGCACAGTGAGAACTAAAAGGAATAGTGAAACTCGCCGTTGTCTCTTTGTAACCTCTGCTTACGCACTCACTGACTGCAGCTCGGATGAAGTGAAGGACGAGTTCTACCGAGAACTGTCTAGCCTCCTCTCGAAAGCCAAACGTTCGGACGTGTTGGTTGTTGCAGGTGACTTCAATGCACAGGTGGGTAGACTTAGTGAGGTAGAAAGGCACTTAGGTAGGACTTTCGGAGTTACGGCTGACCGTACAGATGACGGTTATCGCCTACTACAACTGTACTCAGATAACCGCCTATTTTTAGCTAGCACAAATTTTAGACATGTATCAAAGACACCGTCCGACGTGGCGTCCACCGAGTTCAACTCAGTGATGGACACAGATAGACTACATTGCTATTAGTCATCGCTAGAGAGGATCGATGGGAGACTGCCGTTACTTCTGGAATACGTGTTTGGATAGCAACCACGCGTTGGTCCGAGAGCATATATGCCTGCGTCTCAATGGATGTAAAAAAAATTTAGCCACAAATGCACTGCGAGTGCTGCTGGACAATGAAAACACCAAAGCTGTGTTCAGCTAGAAATTGGCTAGGCAGTTATCGGAACAGAAGACTATCACCCATCCAGAAGAAGCTTGGTGCCATCTCCAATCTGCTGTAAAAGCAGAGTTGAAGACATTAGCCGACTCCGAAATAGTGGCTGAAAAGAGCCAGTGGATATCAGCAGCTTCTTCCAAACTAATGGATGCACGTGAACGCCTCCGTACCTGCAGGCTCTGAGTACAATGAAGAGCGAGCGCAACTTAAAAGTAGACTGATGAAAAGTCTGCGCAACTATCGTGAACAGTGGTGGACAGCAAAGGCTAAAGAGATGGAAAAGGCAGCGGCGATCGGTAATAGTAGACAGTTATTTAGACTTATTAAGGAGACTGGGGGGAAAAGATCAACAACAGTTAGTGAGGCTATAGCGGAGAAGGACGGATCTGCGATTCAGTCGCAGGGAAGGCGACTGGGACAATGGGCAGAACACTTCGAGGAACAGTTTAACTGGCCTCCAGCCACCATTGCGTTACCCACTATCCAGTCGGATCCTGAATGGAACATGGATTACTAGCTGTTGTTGAGTAAGTGGTACGTAACTTGGAATGAGGAAAGGCAGCAGGATCAGACGGACTAACTCTGGAGGTATACAAGGATGGTGGTAGAGCGCTCTTAGTCAGGTTAATGGAAGTGTTAGCTAGTACATGGGAATCAAATACGATCCCCTCTGATTGGTCTAGATAACTGATTATCCCAGTCCCCAAGAAAAGAGAGAAGTCCTCCTGTGATAACCACGAAGGAGTAAGGCTGACGAACATAGTGTCCAAGATTCTAGGTTCTATAATTCTGCGCTGCCTGAGTGGAGCTCGGGAACAGCGAGCCCGAGAAAACCAGGCAGGCAGGCCTTAGACCTGGCCGCGGGTGTATCGACCAAATATTCACACTACACCAGGTGCTGGAACACAGACACGCTTACAGACGCCCGACACTAGCTGTATTACTCGACCTGAAGGCGGCATTTGACTCAGTTGGTGGAGAAGTCTTATGGCAATGTTTCTCACTGAAAGGCCTGCCGAGTAAGTACATCACCTTAATGAAGGCCCTCTACTTGAACACTTGTGGTCGTGATGAAGAAATGTCCACGGAGTTATGCTTATCGAGTGGTGTCCATCAAGACTGCCCACTGTCTCCATTCTTATTCAATTTTATCATAGATATTCTTATGGAAGTTTCCCTCTCGTCACCTGACTTCACAGACGTTGGTCTAATCGTAGGAGACTTTTCATTAGACGTAGAATATGCAGATGACATAGTCTTGATAAGCGAAGACGCTGACAATATGCAGAGTCTTGTGGAGACTTTGAGTGGGAATTTGAGAATGTTTGGGATGCGTTTCTCACCACCCAAATGCAAATTGTTGCTCTAGGATTGGTCTTCAACTGTTTACAATGGAGAGTGTAGTGACTGAGTGTGTCGACGAGCCCTAGCGGCTCAGTGGCCGGTGAAATCTCTGCACGGATACGAAGGGCCTGGCTGGCTTTCGCCACCTATGTCGCCTCCGTGATATCCGTCTGTATATTAAGGGTCGCGCGTACCGCACCTGTACAGCAGTCCGGTCTGTTCTACTGTATGGCTGTGAAACATGACCATTGAAGGTGTAAGACATGAGAAGGCTGACTTCAGCTGTTTGACCACCATTGCTTTCGTAGTATAGGCCATATTCCGTGGTGTCGCCACGTGAGTAACGCAGAAATCAGGTGAAGAGTTTAAGGGAGAAGAGGAAGGTCAATTGACGAGGTTATGAACTTCGATAGACTGAGATGGTTGGGACACGTACTACGTATGCCTAGTCGCCGATCGCCTTGTCACACAATGTTGGCTGAGGTGGATCCAGGCTGGAAAAAGACCCGAGGTGGCCAGACTGAAACATGGCATCAATGCATATAGTCTCTGACTGTTGGTTTTAGCCATGTGGGGCGATGCAGACTAGGTGGTTGGGGTCTGTGGGACAAGAGAAACCAGTGGTTGGAGACTCTAGGTGATATGGCTGAGAACCAATGTCAGTTGCCTAGATGTATACAAACATCATCCTCATCTTAACGATGTTATACCGAATCTCACTATTTTCTCATTCTTCCTGTTTCTCTTTCGTACTTTATATTTCTTTTGACTGAGTTTTCTTCCTTCAACTTGCACTTCACTGCCTTTTTACTTGATGTACTAATATGAGGTGTGTTAGCTCGGACCGTTACACAGTAATCTCTGGTCGTATGTTGGTGTTGATGAGGAGGAGGACTTAGTGAAAATTACTAAGATAAAGTAACAATCGGTTTCCATTATGACTACACTGAAATCACCTTGAATTTGGGATTCCTAGACATTTTTTTAAGGAATTGCTTTTACGATGTACTACTAGTATGCAATGTTGACTAAATAATGAACTTTACCGAGAAATGCATTGGGTAGCAGTGGGTTCATGATTGAATTTTCTCTTAGCTGACTGCTTCATGATTAGTCTGGAGAACAGTTAACTGCGTCCATTGATTGGCCAGTTTCATCTATATAAGGGGACATTTATGACACTTTCATTGTCTGTATAGAGGATAGTAACCTTGATTACTACGAACGTTCAATGGGTGTTATGGGTCAATTAAATTAACACAAGAAACTAAAAATAAGTCAGAATTCCACTTCTTGGATGTTTTGTTGAGAAGATATCATGGTTCCATAAACAGACCAATTAACAGGAAGAAAACTTGGCTTGGACAATATAATGACCTTCAAAACTGGGTTCCACTTGTGAAGAAAACAAATCTAATTCATTCCTTATGCAAAAAAGTGAAGTAATTTGTACGGATGATAGAGTATATGAGGAGCTGGCAATATTTCGAAGAGTGTTCATCGAGATTCTTCAATATTCCTTTAAGATTTATTTAGAGGAACCATAATCACCTTGTGACTTTTATTCATGATTTTTGATGACTTTATATTGACCCATAAACTATTGATGCGTATACATTTTATTGTAACTGCGATTACGATTGTACAACTTTTGAAAATGATTCATCGAAAAGAAAATTTCCTCCGCTGAATTGTCTTTAGGTAAGTTTTCACTAACGATTGACAATTTGTCAGCTAGTCAACCTACTTT